TTTTGAGATAGTCTGCCAACCACAAATATTTGCATCCTGGACATAAATTGTTTCAATTCCTACACTCAAAACAACGCTATAGAGCACTGCACACCAGAACAACTAGACACAAGGACAGTTTCCCCCCTCCGAATGGCATCACTCTGCTAAACCTATAATTCCCTCAACACTGTCAAACTATTCACTAAGTCAGCATTATTATTAATCTTCTCATCGTTCCTATCATCCATCTCTTCCCACTTATGACTGTATGATTATAACTTTGTTGTTTGTATCCTTACGATTTATATTGATTGTTTCTTAGTATGATTTGATTGCTTCTTTGTACCCTATGATTATCATTAAGTGTTGTACCTTATGATTCATGACGAATGTATCTTGTCTTTTTATGTACACTGAGAGCTTAGGCACCAAAGACAAATTCCTTGTGTGTCCCATCACACTTGGCCAATAATGAATTCTCTTTTCTTCTCATCTACATTGGTCAGATTCTACCTTGACTTATAGGCTGTTCAAGAAGAATTCTGTGGAAATGGAATGGACTTTGAGAAAGGGAATGGAATAGCTCCAGCCTTCCTCAGCTGACTCATCCAGCCGGATGGAGGGAAATATGCCTGGGAGGATATTTTGAGATGGTCTACCAACCACAAAGCATCTTGAGCTGGCAGTGAATGCTACAATGAGCAAAAATAGTGACACCCTTAAGAGCTTTAGAGATTTCAGTGTCTTTATTTCAACCCAAGGATGTCAGCAATATATTATAAAATATACAAATAAGGCAAGAAGTATAGTTCTTTGAAAAGAAAGCAGGCCAGGGGGGAAAAATCACATCATTAAACAGAAAGCAAAGATGCAAATCAGATCACTCGTTCACAGAAACAATGATCTTGGCTCCAAACATGTCAGCTCTAGAAAAGGATTGAAATTCTCCATGGATTTCATAAAAATAAATCCAATCAATCTGACTCCCTTTTCATGTTTTGAAAGCTATCTCTGAACATTCGCCCCCTTGAGTTACGACAACATTTGACAAAGATTGCTTCATTAAGCTCAATGTCAAGCATGCTTGATAAAATCTGCTCCAATTTTTCTATGCACAATGTTCAGATTTGCAACTAAGCTAATTGGCAGCTAGGCACGACGCTAACTGATACTTTGCCACATGCTCCTATCCACCTTTTGAAGCTCAGGCAATCAACGTTGCCATTGATATCCCCAACTAATTTCAAGGTAATGGTCTCACCTTTCCAGCTATAAAAAAGGGGACAGTAACTTCTGTAACCAAGGCTCGCCAATAGTTCACATTTTCCTTTCCGTCATTGCCGTGATTTTCAAATGTGTAACTAACACATTAGAGGGATAGTAAAGCAAAGTCTACTGCAAAGTATTCCTTCATTAGTTGTATCCTTTTCCCCTGCCTCTTGGTGGAGCTAACACATATGTCCACCTTCTCTGTATTTAATCCCACCCACCCACCACCCCAGTTACCTCGGATGCCTTTGAAGACATAGTAGCAGCATCCTGGGCTTTCCTTCTTCCTTGCTTCCTCAGTAGCTTTCCTATCCTTTAGGTAGGATAAGGAGCCGGTCAATTTTTCAATGTTCTCGTAGGGATTTTCCAAAATGGATTTTGGGTTGTAGATTGCTCTGATTTTCAAGGAGGAGGAGGAAGGGGATCCATTGTAAACAGGGTTGTCCCATGCCTTCTTCCCCAGAGTTTCCAGTTCATGTTCTTCTTGTGCCTGGAAGTGGCTCTCAGCTCTGTTGCTTAGGTGAGAAGTGCTCATGATGCTGAATCAAGCAATGGTTTCTTGTAGGAGGACCCCAAGTTACCAAGCAGTCAGAAGCATTCGTCTGCTTGGCACTTTTGCTCCGAGGCCTCTTTTATATTCAGCCACTGGGTGACAAATAGAGAGTGGAGGCCATTGTTGGGAGCAGCTATTAACTTCTATTCTTCGGTGAATCCAGCTACACCCAGGGGTGGATCTCTTCCTCTCTGCAGATAACAGTCATGAAAACCTGCATGGAGAGAGAATCTGGCTGTTAAAATATTGGTTCTTGTGGCTAAATTCTCAGGGAAATTAGAGGCAGGATGTTCATTGGACACTTTGGGCTGAGACAATGCTGAGTGACACCTGGCACATCCCCAAACATTACAGGCGCTCAGTTTTAAATAGAGCTGCACCAAGAGAGCATTTGGGATCCATAAATCAAACTTTACACTTGCTTCTTGCAACTAGACTTAGCTGGGCTCTTAAGACTCTCTAGATCTAAAATAGCCATTTTTTTCTCTATGAACCAGCAGCATTTGCAAATTCAAGTAATTTCCTAGTCAGGGTTTTTATTATCACAGTCATGGTGATTATTCAAAAGGCAACATACAAGCCAATATCAAAGCAAAATAATTGCTGGGGGGCGATTTTGTGCTTGCCACTATGCAAAGAGTTGAATTGATCAACCCTGCCTCTCCATTTATCTGCATGGTGTTTAAAAAGTTCGAAAGGAGAAAATGGAAGAGGAGGAGAGGCCGATTTTCTGGATGACCCAGAATTCTAGACTTGGAAGGCCATCCAATCCAGGGGTGGGTTTCTGCTAGCATTACTGCCGGTTCAGCGCACACATGATTTTGCGTGCACATGCTCTGCGCGAATATGGAGTTGCCTATAAATAGGTCTGCGCATGCACAGAACATTTTAAAAGGCCAAAAAAAAGATGTCGCGGCGACTGTGGAATCGGTTCGGGGGCATGGCAAGGATGCTGTCCCTACTGGTTCGGAGACCCAGTCGCCATTTCCACTACCAGTTCCACCGAACTAGTGCGAACCGGTAGGAACCCACTTCTGATCCAATCCAATCCCTGTTCCAAGGAAAAATCCAAATTAAATTCAGTTATCCTAGAACAATGATGGCTAACCTTTTTGTCCTCGCGCACTGAAAGCATGGTGCACATGCGTGACAGCATGTGTGCGTGCCCACACCCATAATACAATGCACATCACCCCCTGCACATGTGCAGGAACCCCCTGTACTCCCCCCATGCATGCGTACAACTCCCTGTGCCCTGTTTTGGCCCTAGCAGGCCTCCCTGAAGCCTCCTGGGACCAAAAATGGGGTGTGGGGGCACGCTGCACTCCCCATGCTCCCCCTGCCCTCATCCATGCATGCACTTGCTTCTCCTCCACGCATGCGCACACATCTCCCGCATGCATGGCAGAGACCCAAAAATCAGCTGGCCGGTGGGTGGCATGTGCGCATGCATGGTGGAGTTGAGCTGGGTGATGGCTGGCGTGCCTGCAGAGTGGGCTCCACGGGCCACCTGTGGCATAGGTTGCCACAGGTTCACCATCACAGCCCTAGAAGGACAATTCTTTAGATCTTACTTTACCTCACCCATGCTAAATGATCCCACAGTCAAACTGCTTTTGCCGTTAAGCAATTCCTCCTAATATTAAAACCAGAACATGCCTTTGTGTAACTGAAATCTATTTTTCTCAATATTTCTCAAAGTTCTTTGTCTCAGGATGCGATTTCTCCGCGGGTGGTTCATGAAGCCAATGTGGAAGGAACACTCAGACACGAATTCCCTTCGGGACGAAACCGACCCAGAACGAA